TTCATGGTATCAGTATAGTAAAGCCGTCCCGCTACACGCCATGTAGGTCATTTAGGGTGAGTGGAGGTATAGCTCCTACTCTTTCTTGACCTCAGCACTAGATGGGTGTGAGTGGTCAGCATCACGCCCCGGCTGCGCTTTACCCCGGGAAGAAACCCTGTTACCCATTCGATAGGAGGCTGGGTGGGCCCCAGAACCGGTCTGGACTCAAGAGGCTAGAGGAAAAATCCTTGCCCCCGTCGGGGATTGAACTCCCGTCGTCCAGCCAGTAGCTCTCTTTCATGGTATATCTTGTGAAAAGTTTCAGAAGGTGTAAACACACTGGTCTTTAAACAAGATACTCGAAAGAATTAGTGCAGCAAATACCACTTCTATGAAAGCATTTATATTTCTTGTGTGACATGTATAAAATGAAAGCAGAATAGGAAGGTCTGTCTGCCTACCCATTCATCTGCTACCTGTACACTTCATCTCTGAAACCACAGATTTAGTCAAAGTTTTGTATAGTCTTTTTTCTGAAATCTGCTGCGTAAAGTACATTTTCATCCATATTGATTTAATTTCTTCAATTTTATCAAAAACAATGAAACTTGAATATTATTAAAATTTCATGATTACAATAAATAATACTCGTTGACTTCGAATTAGTATGTTCTTCCAAATGCACATTCAATTATGCACCTCCCTGCAAATTTCACTAACTTTTATTATATGGGAATAGGGGATTTTTAACTACATACTAAAGGGCTGGCAGCCAGTCTTAGGGTTTAATGGTTTAACTTTATGTTAGCATGATTGGACAGCCAGCTGGACTGCACATAAACCACAACGCACAGTCTGTAAGCTTAAGATGTTTACCTTATATATCATTATTTGTCCTTCATTTAATTCAGACTAAATTGGACCAGAAAGTCCATGAAGGCAACTGCAATAAATTTTGTCAGTATACCAAGACACAACCATAATTACTGAAAGGGAGAGGCTTTGGTACATGTATCCCCTTATTGGTAAAGCACTATTTTGGCATTTGCATAAATAGATTGTAGCATTTGTCAGTTGTCAGCACTGTGATATGTTTACAGGATTTACCCAAAACAAATGCATTATGAATCAATTGACCTGGATAGATCCTTGCATTTATATTCAGTTATTCAAAAAAGTATTAACCACACATTTGTATATGAAAGCAGAAAAGCAACACAGAATAAACAGAATTACTCACCTACTGACGGAATCACTGACAGCACTGGCAACAGACGGAGTATCTCGTGTCACACTGGGATCTGGAGACTGGGGTTGATACATATTCTGTGGAGTGGATGGATAGCTCCCACCTCCAAGAGAACCTGCAGGTCCACCCCAACCAGGAACGTGTGTTACAAGCAGTGGCTTCACATAACCATTGCTCGTCGTGGGCTGGTTTTCTGCAAATAAATTCATAAATTGTGTCTTCTGGGACGTTGCACTGTGCAGACTGGTAGCTATTGACCAACATTTAAGGAGTGCATTGCTTACTTAATGCCCTGACGATGTAGCACTGCAAGAAACTGAAATTTCAACAATAAATTTGTAACTTACATCTTTCACCAATCTCTATACATGGAAGAAACACCACTTCAATGCATTGTAAACTCTACTCAATGCTGAATTATGAACCTTTGTAATAACTGGGATTGCTATGGAAGTTATTTCCTGACAAATCTTTCAGCGTGTCATTGCAACACTGCATGAAAGAACTCTCAACATCATCCACTTTTCTCACATATGCACCCTCTCTCCTGACCCATACCACGAACCCACACACTACAATTTCCTTCATGTGACTACTCCCACATCTGAACAATGCTTCTCAACCAACACAAGCCTTCAAAACGCTCCGCCGTCTTCCCTCTTCATAACGTATGGTAGCAGACAAAATTAAAAAAAGGAAACAATTTTCTTAACTTGCCTTAAACACCCAATATTACATTATGAAAGACTGGTTGTATAACATACGTATTCAACAAATACTGCTACCATTCTTAAAACATACCTGTGTACGGTGTATAGTATTTTCCAAATGCCTGCTCCTTAGGAACATCAGGAAACAAAGACACAAGGTGCTGAAGGTCAGAGATCCTATCTGCTAAGCTACGGATGGCAAAGTCCTTACTTGTAAAGGGCTGCAGCATGAACACTTCAGCTTGTTCTGTTAAACAAGAATTCAAACAAATTTCACTCCATCATTACTGAAAGTCGGACTTCTCAAACTGCGCCCTTAACATTTTGAGTACCAGCTTCTGGACACTTTTTACTCATAATAATATCTGTTTACAATGGGGTTGGAGGGAGACATACATACCAAAGAAATTTTTAAGAAAATCTGAGTACAGGATATTCAGTAATCTTTGGTTTTATTAATACTTCTGCTTACACAATTTGCAGCATGTTAACTAGCCTAAACCTCACCTTCCCATCCACCCCATGACTTTCCCCACCCAGACATTTTTTGTTTTATCCCCCCTCCCTCCCTTGCCACCCCACTCGACTACATCAATATGCTGTACACATTCATGTCAGACTTCAACTTCAGACTAGCAACACTAAGGAGTGCTTGGTCAAGTTCAGTTCTTTAAGCATCTGGAAGGCAAGTACCTTTCTAAATTACATTTCGGATTGCACATTTTAAATCTGTTCTTTCAGTCTGATATCATCCCATAGTCATTTCAAGGGTCCTTTTTTATGTAATTTTCTGTAGACCAAACAGTCCTCATTCCCTGTCCTTTGACATTATTCAGGGTGCTATAAATTTTGTATTTCATCTCTATTATGTATTATTACAGGCCCTGGCTTGTACCGTTTATAACAGTGCCTGAACATGGTAGAACTACACCAAGGTCAGTGTTCACAGCTTTAACCAAACAAAGTTACTGCATGTTACAGACTAGTTACATTATGTATTACTAAGTTGATTTAATACATACAACATGGATTAAATTGCAACAGCATTTACTAGTTCACTGTGTAATTCATTTCCATGGTACAATCCCAAACAGTGATTGGGCATCAAAGGATAAAGAACAGCAGACTTCTGCATACAAACCTCCAACCCACGCAATCGTGACACCACCAAGTTCTGAATCTGAGAATCGAAGGAGAAATACTCCATTGGCACATGTAGACAGCAACTCCTCTGCTTGTTTCTTGCGTATAAACCCCATTATTGCACTAGAAAAATTAATACACAAGCCACTAAGACAAAACACGGCTGAATTAGAGGAGGAACAATCCACTGGTACGTGTTACTAGCAACTAGTCTGTTATTTCTTGTGTTAAACTCCAGGATTACACCAATAACACAAACACATATGCCAATATGATGAACATCAAGCGAATCAAAGTCAATATGGTACTTTGCCTAGCTCCAATTTCATTTAGCCAGAGCAGACCATCTGCTAAGTCAGTGATCCCCAACATTTTTGTGCCTACGGGCACTTTTGAGAGTTTATGAGATCGTGGCGGGCACCAACCAATTAACAAAGCCAAATTTTCTTTTCTCTGGACAAATAAGATATGGACACCAAATAATACACAAAA